CAATCGATCCCGACAATGCATATAAGAAAACTGCCTACTCCCTTTTATAGGAATGACGCAACAATTTTCCTTTGAGGTGGAGCGTACCCTCTTCTTTCAATAGAATCATTTTACACATAGCATCTTTCTTCATGGTATAAACCATTTTTTGTTGCCTGCCAGCAGGTGCAGCCTATCTTAGCACATGTTTCTTATCTGGTATTGTTTATCTCTAACTACTAATTTGCAGATGAAGAAGCTGATCGAAAGAAGAAAAAAAAGGACAAAGTCATGGGGGAGCAAATCGGTGTCATGCCAGATTTAAGATACAGGTTTGGTACAGAAAGCACAGATCGGGGTAAAAAACCTCAAATATTTTCCAAGCCAAGCATCAAGTCTGATGGGCCAAATGCATTGGATTTCATTGGAGATCAGAAGGAGGTTGTTGTCCTTTCTTCCTCTCTAATTCTGTCGTGCTCCACTTATATTAATAGGAAATTGTAGGCATGTCTTTAGTATGTCAAGCAGATGGTGCAATCATCTGATTTTCTTCTTAGCTGCAGGCTGAAGTGTTTGCTACTAAAAGAACCCTATCTAGCAAGGTGAAATCCAAGAAAAAATTTGATATTGTGGACACTGGATTATTTAACAAAAAGGTTAAAATACTAGGGGATGGAATAAAGGTAAATGTCCCCAAGTTATTTTGATTATGCTGCTTATTTTGAATTCCAATATATCCTTGCCAAGTGTTTCTTGATTCTTATAAGACATGTAACTGATGTGATACTCTCCTTGGATGCAGCCCGTGAAAGAGAAGAAGTCAGCAAGAGACAGTTTTGTCTGTGGGGCCTGTGGTCAGGTTTGTGGTTATATTTGAATAATCATCTTATTCTTTCCAGAGTTATGAAGGCTAATCAATTGACTGGTCTTGTTATGCAGCTTGGTCACATGAGAACTAATAAGAATTGTCCCAAGTATGGGGAAGATGTGGATGCACGAGCAGAAAGCACTGATCTGGAAAAGACTACAGGAAAAGCCATTAGTTCTATCGATCCCTTGGATCATCCCCAGATCTTCTCGAAGAAAGTCATCCAAAAAAGTGGAACAAAGAATGTGATGATTGAAGTTCATGAGGATGATAATTCCAGTTCAAAGGCCAAAGTTCTGAAGGTCAAATGTGGCTCAACCGACAAGCTTCCTGATAAACCTACTCCTGCCACCTCATTTAATTCTGACATGCCAGTGACTTCAGATGCTGAAACTGGAACTGTACCACCCCCCATAAAATTCAATAAAATAAAGTTTTCAAATAAGATGAGAGCAGAGGATATTTCCAATGAAGCTCACAAGCCCTCCATTCTGATAAGGCCACCAACGGAGACTGCAGACTCACAGCGCAGCAAGAAAATTGTAATTAAGCAACTTAAGGACTCTGCAAGTGTGGATGAAAGCTTTCTGGAAGGAAGCAGTGGCATGGATTTCAGGAAGACGAAGAAAATCAATGAATTGTCGTACTTGGGGCAGCAAGATAGAGAACACTTTTTTGAAGAGGCTTTAGAAAGGAAAAGAATGGATGATAAACGATTATGGGAAGAGGAAGAGAGGAGGAGAGTTGCTCTAAGGCAGAGAGAAGAAAGAGCCAAAATGATATATGAGCGACAGAAGGCACTAGAGGAGCAGGAGAAGTTAGCGGCAATTGAAAGCTATCAAGATGCCATAAGAAGAGAGAGGGAAGAAGAAGAACGTCTAAAGGAAAAGAAGAAGAAAAAGAAGAAGCCTGAAATAAGAGATGAGTACTTGGACGATTTTCTTCCCAGAAGAAATGACAGAAGGATACCAGATCGAGACAGATCGGTGAAGCGGAGGCAACCTTTTGAGTCCGGAAGGCATGCTAAAGAGCATGCACCACCAGCAAAGCGCCGAAGAGCGGGAGAGGTAACTAAATCTATTATGCTTGTTTATCTCTGCAGGTATTAGTGATAGTCCATTTACTATGGCCATAGATGCTGTGGACCTAGACCATCTAATCCTTATTTCATTTTGTGCTGTGTCCAAGTGATCTAGCTGACCTTTCTCTCATGTTCCTGTTGGCCAATTTGGTTGCATGGTGGTGTTTATAGAATTTTCTGATAGGAAATGAATAGTACTAGTTAGGAGAAAATACGGCTAACTGCCGTCATGGTGGGTGGAGTGTCTTTTTTTTTTTTTTTTTTTTTTTTTTTTTGAAAAAGTGAGGCTTATGCCTCCTTGCATGTGAAATAGAAAGGGAAAAAGAGAAAGGCCTACTGCCTACTTACTCTCATAGGAATATTGATCATGCATCTACTCTGATGAGTGTTGTTTGACTGTCACATCTTAAGGAAGAACACATTCTCTGTATGCATAATTATTTCATTGTTGGTCAGTTAACTGCAGTTAGAAAAGCAAGATGTTTGCAGGAAAAACCTCTGATCTTATTTGATCTGTTCTTTCTGATAGTTCCTTACTTCCTCTGTATTGCGAAAGGGCAGATGTGTAGTAGTCTTTTCATTTAACTGAAATGTGGTTGAATTTGTTTGAAGGTTGGTTTGTCAAATATTTTGGAAGAAATTGTTGACACACTGAAGTCAAATGTGGAAGTATCTTACCTCTTCTTGAAACCAGTGACCCGAAAAGAAGCTCCAGATTATCACAAGTATGTAAAGCGTCCTATGGACCTATCTACAATCAAAGAGAAAGCCAGGAAACTGGAATATAAAAACCGCGGGCAATTCAGGCATGATGTGGCACAGATCACCATCAATGCACATATATACAATGATGTGCGCAACCCAGGTATTCCCCCCCTTGCGGATCAGCTTCTAGAGATTTGTGACTACTTGCTGGAAGAGAATGATTCCATCTTAGCTGAAGCTGAAGCTGGTATTGGACGATGATACTTCATATTTGTACCCTTATCTCTGTTGGATTTTAAGTGCCATTAAGCAAGCTTTCATCGGTCACTCTTGATCTAGTGGTTTCAGCAAATGGATAGCTATCTATCGTTCAGCGATCAGAGGATAGATCTTTTGGATGTGTTAGTTGCAGCCACCCGAAACATGTATCAGATGATGAAGATGTGACTGAAGGGATCGTATCCCAACTGTATAGTGGGATTTAGTAGCTGATATGGCACTGTACCATTTTGTTCTACCTCATAGTTAATGTTGAAAGGCAACACGAAAATGGGGTGTGGATGAGAGAATGGGTAGTGTATCTTAATGTATAGAGTAGTAGCTCAATTATGTGACATATGTGCACTTTGTTTGAAACTTTTTAGTTATGTAAATCTTAGCAATTACCCGGTTATTCCTCATAGTCCAGTGGATTCAAATTTTCCCCTTTCTGCTATGTGAATAGAAATTTCAGCTAATCAATTGGATTTATTCCTCATAGCACATCTTGCTGTTTTAACTATTGTGAGTTTTAATTATGTGGAAATTGGAATGGTCTATGGTAAATGGAGTCCTAATTCCCTTGAGTTTCTTCTTGTTGAGGACTTTTCATTATAATGGCATTTTTTTAATATCTAACTTCTGTATTGTGATTCAATGCGACTCATATTTTATCTGTTTGCTAAATATATTAAAAAAGTAATTAATGTTTGACGTTTAAATGCATATATTCTAGAGGATAAGGATGTATTCAACAAATATTATGCGCCAATAATATTTGTTAAAATGGATTTTTTATTTTATATTTCTCAACATGGAGTCAAAGAAAAGCAATCATAAGTTAGGTACAATGAATGCCTCAGCTTTAATTTTTTATGCCCATGGTTCCCAAAGTCATTTTGTTTGAAGTTGTTGAGTGTTGAAGTGATGGTTGTTAGGATAGTGCTAAAAAATTGTTATTGAGTAGTATTACTTGAAATCTATTCTATTAACTTGTAATCCAAATATTTAAGAAGGATTATGTGTTTTTTATATGGCACATGAAAGAATATGTTATTTTCCCTTATTAGTAGAAAGAAATTAGAGAATCTATCTTGTTTTTTTATAATTTGAGTAATTTCCTATAGATTCATTGATTGAGGTTTCCTATATTTTCGTTAGTTGATCAAATCTTTATTTTGTAATATTAGAATCTCTATCTCATGGAAGTAATATCACTTTCGTCCTTCAATTTGTGTAGAAAATCAAACCGTCACTTAAACATAGCTCTCATGCTATCTAAATTTTGGCCATTGACAGTGTAATTTTATAAATACAAAATAGGGAAAACTACGTAGTGTAATCGCTCCCAAAAATTATTACCGGTAAAATATATTTTTTTGTATATTAATGCATAATAGATATATATTACTTTTTATATTTGACTGGCTAGCCAAAATGTAAATTGCCCTACAAAATACTACCCTTTTGATTGTAAAGTTATCACTTCATGATATACTAGTATCAAAAAGGCAAACCATCTAAACTGATAAATAATAATCGATTAATACTTTAATATTAAGATATGAGAGCAAAAGTATCTCTAGCTTAAATTTTAAAATGATACTCATATCTTGTTATTGATATCTAAAATTGAAAGAAAACCTTAATTTTCATATAATATTGGAAGGATAAAATGATTTTCATCTGTTTTTATTTGTTTATATTTGCAAAATATTAGGGAAGAAAATGTGCAAGCAGCTATTAACACTTGCATTAGTGTAACTTGTTTACATCACGCTCTTTGAAATGCAATTATTTTCCGTGGGAATACGAAATACCTCGTGTGACTGCTTTTTTTTTATTTGCATAACATAAAAAGAGGTACTTCTGATTAGCACATAGGAGTAGCAAATACAGATAACCAAAAAGAGAGGGTAATATGTACTAAAAAGTTTGGAGCATATAACTTCCAGAAACGACAAAAGATGACAGTATACCTTAAAATATGCTGACGCCAGATCACTCAATATCCAACGGCCAAGATCTCCTCAATTCCCAATCTCTAATTGGTTTGCTTACTATTCTATCCAGAGCTGAGGCAGCCACCCAACAGCAAAGCCAAAAACATCACAAACTCTTCTTTTTTCTCACTAGTCTTTTGAGTGGACCCCACTTCACTATCCCCCTGGTATTTGACCCACCCAACTATAGTCACCTATCTCACCACACCGCTACCTCAAAAGGGCAAAAAACAAACTGTAAAACCAATAAATTCAGTGTTCAGTTATTGAAAGAGAGAGAAAGAGGAAAAAACAGTGAAACCTCTAAAGACTCAAAACTAAACTTTCAAGAATTACCAGTCAGGTGACTTTTGCATACATATAGTGAAAACCCCACTTGTAAAGTTGTGTTCTTTAGGCATATTTGTGGATATTTTGTGTAATTAAATTACGGTTTTTGGTTGGGGGATCTTGCTTTTTGTAAGAATTACCAATCTTGTGACTTGTGTATATATATATATAGTGAAAAACCCACTTGTAAAGTTATGTGCTTTATGCATATTTGTGGATATTTTTGTCTAAGTGAATTAGGGTTTTGGGGGGATCTTGCTTTTTTGTGTATTAGGGTTTTGTGGTAAATTTTCTTGAATTAACTTAGAGATCTGTGTGGAGTGCTTTATTGATTGTTGTTTCTTTGTTTTTTGGGGTGATTCTGGGGAAAAGGGTATTTTGTCTAAATGCAGACTAGGTATATGGAGAGGACAAAATCTATGAAGAGGAGCTTGGAGGGTGATGAGGAGCAGCAGCCTGAGCGTAAAAGGCCTGCTTTAGCTAGGTAAAAGCTGTTTTTTTTCTTGGATTGCCCTTATTTTGTTGCTATATTGATGTTATTTGGTATGATGATGATATGAGTCGGGCTTAAATGAGAGACATGGTCAATGAGAATTCTTACCGTCGACCCCACCTCTACCTGTTTGGGACCGAGGCACAATAGTAGTTGTTGCTATACTGATGTGTTTTCCTTGCTAACTTTTATAAATGAATGGTGAGTTTTTAGGCAGCTGAAAAGTTCATTATTTAGTCACTTCAATTCGAATCTGTGGTGTGAAACAGTCGTAATGGCGTTTCGTCTAAATTTATCACTTGGGATTTTGATTTGCAAGAAAAATAATTGTCATTTGGACCCTTTCGCTGATTCATCATTGTAACTACTGAAAAGTTAATCCTGTTGAAGTAAAAGTTGTGACCTAAAGAATCTAGACACAGTATTAATTCATTAGACAGTATTTTTTGGGATTTTACTGGGTTGTTGTTGTTGTTCTCTTGAAAACCAAAAATATCGTTGGTGTAAGAATGTGCAATTCATTTTATTTTTTTGTTGTTGTCATATTTGTCTGATCCTACCATTGTAAACTGTGATTTTGGTCTTCTAATGGCTATAATCCTTGTACATTTCTAATGCAAACTTTCACGTATTCTGATATTGATTTCTTGTTATAGCTTTGATTAAGCCATGTTTGACATTTATGTCAGTTTTGAGTCATGTTAAACGAAAGTTTCTTAACAGTTTGCTCAATGTACATCTATTAGGATTTGGGAAACTATGTACTAGTAGGTTTCTTGGGTTGCTTTTTTTTTTTTAAATTTGGGTGGGGGGGTTGAGGCAGAGGGCTCTGGAGATAAATAAGTACATACTTTGGTGTCGTTACCTATTTGTTGTGTGCCATCATATTGCTTAAATTGTCATTGACAGATGTTTACCTGTACACATTCTCTCTTCCTAAAAGAAGTCGTAGATATCAAATCTTAAATTTTTATGCAGTGTAATTGTGGAAGCTCTCAAGGTGGATAGCCTTCAAAGGCTCTGCTCATCGTTGGAACCGATTCTTCGGAGAGTTGTAAGATACTTAGCATTAGGATTTGGTTTTTGCCTGTCATCTCTCTCTCTCCTAAAATATGTTTAATGTTGGAAAAGTAATTCCTTTCGTAATCTTCAATTGTTTGATCCTGCTAGAAAAAATTACTCCTTTATTACATCCTAATGTTTTGCGTTTTTTCTTTTTATGTGGAGCTAGAACGTGGAAATTCATCTTGACTGGTGGTAGATATTTATTCTGATAAGAGTTATCTTCCTTCAACTGGAAAAGCTAACTTTGTTCTTTCCTTTATGTTTTTAAAATTATACCTGTTGTATTATTATTACTTTCTGCACCCTTCTCTATACAAGGATCAAATGCATAGTTGATTTTGCTATATGCTATTAGCGGGTCAGAAGATGAATGACCCTTATGACATATAATCATATAAAAACTTGTACAAATATACATCATCCAATTTTCCACTGTGTGGTGAGAATTATCTCTTATGATATCAGTTATTTGAAGTCTAGGCTTCTTATTGGATTTTCACCATTTGAACTGAACAGGTTAGTGAAGAGGTGGAACGAGCGTTGGCTAAATTAGGACCTGCCAGAGTTGCTGGAAGGTTAGGCTCTCAACTGTGTCATTTTGCATCTAAGTCAGTCACGGTTTTCTTATGCATACTATTTGGAAAAGTTTTTGCATTATTATGCTTCTAAGTGAGAGGACTCTACCTTTTCATTTGAAAAAGGCAGAATAGCCAAATAGACATATGTAATTGCTCTAGATCGTGTTTCCGGCCCCTCAACTTCATGGGGTTTCATTTAGGCATTGGTACGTGTTCTAAACAAGTGTTTTAAACCTCTCTGATGCTATGTTTTCCTCAATCTCTATCCACATAAGATAAAATATGCCACATCATCATTTGTATTTTACATAAGCTATTTTCTTTAAAAATTCCGAATACTACTCCCATTTTCTTTTGTCGTCTTCCTCCCTCCCTCGCAATTATTCCCATTTCTTTCTCTTCCATCTACTACCACCCACATCTAGCAACTTCTTGAATCCAATTTTTTTTAGATCTTTGAATCTAGATTCACAGAGGCATCAGTTATGGGTTGTGAAAAAGACTAGTTGATGGATTAGAAATCAACAGAAACGGGGAAATTTTGGTGAGGCAATTTCTATCCAATGGGGAAAAAGTTAGTACCACAAGTTGCATTATCTTCAAGCAATCCCTTTTCTAGAAAGAGTAAATTAGCAAAGTAGTGAGAGCTTTACAGGGGGTAAGAGAGAACGTCTATACTAGTAATGGCTTTTCTTCTATTAGGGAGAGCAGGGTAAAGTTTGTTACTGAGATTCAAAGGTGGCGTAATCTCTGATTCATTGTTGACAGTGGAAGAAGGTAAAGAACCCGGTTGACAACGACAGAAAATTTCAAAGGGGGTGTTGAAGAAGTGGTTTTGCAATCATTGATAATCCCATTTTTTAGATAAGCCAGATGAAATATGTGACTCTTGAACCAAATATTCTTTGGGTGGTGTACCATTTGAGTGGTGTTGCTAGTTCTTGAATTTTGGGAAGAAGAAGAGTGGATCTGCTGGTAGTGATGTTGCTGGTTCCTTAATTTGGGAAAAGAAGAGTAGGTCTGCTGGTGTTTGTGATGGCGGTGACTGAAAAATAGCAGTGTATTGGTGAGTTTTTTTGGATGAAAATGGCGGTTCACCCATGGGAAGAAGGGCGAGGAAGACAGAACAAAAGAATTGAGGGGAGAAGGGGGAGGGGAAATTTTGTTTTTACCTTTGTTCTTTCTTTTTCAATTTTATTTTTTCCCGACTTTTAATATTTTTTTAAAATCAAAACCACTGCATTCACTCTCTTTAGGGGCGTGATCTCACACAGTTTCTCAAACTCTGCCATTTAAATTCCACATAAGCTTAGTCAATGGTCAGAGAGGATTAAAACGCTAGTTTTGAACACGTCTAGGTGCCTAAATGAAACCCCGTGAAGTTGGGGGCTGGGAACAGAATCTCGTGCAAGTACATGTGTCTATTTGGCTATTCTGTAAAAAAATGCTTCTAGGTGAGAGGGATGAAGATCACGTGGACCTTGTGGTTATATTGAACAGTATGTGTAGTTCAAGTTAATTTTGTCAAAACAGTTTAAAAAAAAAAAGAAATCAAAAGAAGTATTTTGTGGAGGTACCTGATTGACTCTTCTGAATTCAAAAATCCTAAATAAGTTAGTTCACTCTTTGGCCATCGCTTAGTACTTTCTTTGAATACATAGACGCAGATGCAGTGTGCATCATGTTGTGATTCTCTTTTTCTGAACATTGAGTAATGCTTATTATCTAATTTAAAGAAGAGTATTCCTACTGTGCTACAGTAACATATACATACATGATACATACAGTAACATATTCATACATGATACATCCTTCTTTTTTCTTTTCTCGAAAATAACGGGGTGTCCAAGACAACTTGCACCCAGCTCGACTATTCCACCGAACCCCAATGTACTATATGTGATTGAGGTTTATTGGGAAATAGGCCAAATCCATACACAACCCCTTAAAGTTGTCACCATTTTCCACTTAGACACCTCAACTATGACATTTACCTATTGAGCACTTCATGTGGTACAAAATTATGCCTATTGAACATTTTTTACTGACATGTACAAATGTGTGTGTGTCACTTTTTCCTAGCGCGTGAAAAGCATGAGGTACTTTGAGGAGTGGATCTGCTGGTAGTGATGTTGCTAGTTCCTTAATTTGGGAAAAGAAGAGTAGGTCTGCTGGTGTTTTGTGATGGCGGTGACTGAAAAATAGCAGTGTATTGGTGTGAGTTTTTTTGGATGAAAATAGCAGTGTATCGCCGGAAAAACGATTTCCCGGCGATTGCGTTTTCTTCTCAAACCACCTACACCATCTCCTCCTTCAAATCCGGCAACCACTACCCGTTTCTCCTTCACATTCGTTGGCCGCTGCCTCCACCAGTCAATTGAAAAAGTGAAACTTCCTATCATGGCAATTAGAAAATCAAAGCCCAATAATTGAAAGTACTACTCCCTCCGTTTCAATTTAAATGACACACTTTCCTTATTATTCCGTTCCAAAAAGAAAGACACATTTCTATATTTAGAAACAATTTAACTTTGAACTTTTCATTTTACCTACTTTACCCTTAATGAGAAGCTTTTATAGCTACACAAATATTATGGCCCCACAAAGATTTTCCCCCTTAAGCTTTTAGGACCACATGTTTCAAAAGTCTTTTTTTTCTTTTTTAAACTTTGTGCCAAGTCAAACTACCTCATCTAAATTGAAACGGAGGGAGTAATACTTTTGTGTATGTCTTTGTCAAAGATGCAACAATTTGTAGCATTGCAAGACAAAGAGTGAACAATACTATATAGAGGCAGCATTCTAAAACAGATAACATAAGCTGACCCTAATGGGGAAAGCAAAGCAGATAACATAAGCTGACCCTAATGGGGAAAGCACCTTTTCTTCTCCATATTTGATAAAAATCTGAGAAAGATAAAATTCTAGTAAAGAAGGCCATAGCTAACGGGATTTCACCAGAAAATGCTTTTGGCCGGCTGAGAGCTGTTTCAGCCTTTCTCCCCCACCTCCTCCTCCTTATTCCTCAGATTCGGCGACTACCATCACAACCTCCTCCTCCTCGGGCCACCTCCTCATCTTTTCTCCGTATTTTTTGTTAAATCTTGAGTTTTATTTTAGATTTTTTATGTATTTCTTTTTATTTGGCTGACATATATTTTCTTAATTGGTTTATTTTGTCACCTCAAAAGAGAGTAATGTTCACGCTTTAGAGTTAGTTTGGGGCTGTCAAATTTGTGTTCAATAGGCATAGTTTTATACCACATGATGTGCTCAATAGGTAAATGTCATAGTTGAGGTGTCTAAGTGGAAAATGGTGACAACTTTAAGTGGCTGTGCATGTATTTGGCCTGTTAAATATTAAGCATATCAAGTTCATTTTAAGAATTTTTAAAAATATGTGGCCATAAGCAATCAAAATAGATGTTACTACTTTAGCTTCCTTGTCAAAAGAAAAGAAAAAGATGTATACTATTTAATTTATCTATGTATAACTGAGTATGCAATCTAGTTTTTAGTAGATGCAATCCTAAAATCTTCAGGTTTCAGGTCATCTCCTAAGAGAATTGAAGGGTCCGATGGAAGAAACTTGCAGCTTCAGTTCAGGTCTAGGCTATCTTTGCCTCTGTTCACTGGAGGCAAAGTAGAAGGGGAGCATGGTGCTGCTATCCATGTTGTGTTGATTGATGCAGATACTGGCCATCTTGTGACTACTGGAGCTGAATCATGTATAAAACTGGATGTTGTTGTGCTAGAAGGTGATTTCAACACTGAAGATGATGAAGGATGGACGCAAGAAGAATTTGACAGTCATGTTGTTAAAGAGCGTGAAGGAAAGAGACCTCTTTTAACCGGTGAGTTGCAAGTTACACTCAAGGAAGGCGTTGGAACTTTAGGGGATCTCACATTTACAGATAATTCAAGTTGGATAAGGAGCAGGAAATTTAGACTTGGCATGAAAGTTGCTTCTGGATATTGTGAAGGCGTACGCATACGAGAAGCAAAGACTGAGGCTTTCACTGTTAAAGATCACCGTGGAGAATGTAGGCTGCTTAGTCTAAACATTTTGCTGTTGCTTTTATTCATTCTAAAACAGTTATTGACTATTTCTCGATTTCTTACTCTCCCTTAATAGTGTACAAGAAACATTATCCACCAGCTCTAAATGATGATGTCTGGAGATTGGAGAAGATAGGCAAGGATGGTTCCTTCCACAAGAGGTTAAATAAGGCTGAGATATTTACTGTCGAAGACTTCCTTAGGCTTGTGGTTAGAGACCCGCAGAAACTACGGAATGTGAGTAGTGTCTTTAGTGGGATATAAAAAGGAAATTGAAAAGAACGAGATTTTTAACTTTACATTACGTTGCACCTTGTCTTCTCAATTACTTGTATTTTTGGCAGATCCTTGGAAGCGGTATGTCAAATAAGATGTGGGATGCTCTAATAGAGCATGCAAAGACTTGTGTCTTGAGTGGGAAGCTTTATGTTTATTATTCTGATGATTCAAGAAATGTGGGTGTTGTTTTCAACAATATTTATGAGCTGAATGGCCTTATAGCTGGTGAACAATACTATTCGGCAGATTCACTTTCAGACAGCCAGAAGGTTGTTTATTCTTTGTATATATGACACGATTTTCTCTCCTTTCCTTTTTTAGTTATATTTAGGGTTGTTATTACTGGATTTGTAATGTACTATTGTACTGTGTTAACTCTAAGGAATCTGGCTGTGCGTTCAGCTGAATTTTTTGAAAATCTGGATTGTGGTCCAATATTATATGTAGTTGTGGTGCTTACGTTTTGATAAAGAACGTGCCAGCTTCTTATGGAGTTAAAACCTGCAGGTATATGTAGATTCATTGGTCAAGAAAGCGTATGATAATTGGAATCAAGTTGTTGAATATGATGGCAAGTCATTTTTGAATATTAAGCAAAATCAAAAAGCAAGCTCTTCGAGGAACGAGCTTGCTGTTGGGCCAGTGGATTATCCCAACAACGTGGTTAATCAGCTTCCACAATCACGACTTCCTGTTTCAGTCCAATCTGAGCAATCTGCTATGGACCCCAACTTGCTAATTGGAGGTAAAATGTTAATTTTTCAGAATTTTATACTTTTCTTGGTAGTAGTGTTTTATCTAGTCTATGAGTCATTGATGGTATGCCTAGCTTTACTTTGAATCTTGGATGCTGTACTTTGAATCTTGATCCATTTTAGTGGTCGATTGGGAGAGCTTGGAAGAAATGTAAACGAATACATCTTTAACATGAAATCTTATCTCCAGAGTACATACTGGACCATTTCACTGCTGAGAATAGTAGACTTGAATTAAGATTGCCTTTCATAGTGTAGATGTTGCAATTCAAGTACAGATTTGTGGAAAATCTCGGAAATGGTGCATTGTTTTCACATTACATAAGTTTAAGCTTGTGCGATTAATATAAATAATGTAACTTTTAGTTTAAAGCTACACTGGTCTTTTTGTTATCTTTCCTCCAAAAAACAAAACTAGACTACTCTTAGGTTGTGCTTGGCGATATAAAGGTAACACATACTTGTTGCATGTCAATAACTGACCCCTTCACTTTCATTTTCATTTTGTTTTTGCTTCAGAAGCTACTTTTGCCTATACCGTTTGTGCAAGTTAACTTTTCTTAATATGTGGGATGATTTGGATGTGGTAATGGATTATAGACTCAGGGGGAACTTGTCAAATAGGTTGTTAACATGTAACGAGGAAATATTGCTGTGAGGTCTCACCATAGATAGACATTTATGTGGTAGTTTTGGCAGGATTTTATACAAATCTCCTGAGCCTAGTACTTTTCTTGGGAAAAGTGACTGATAAAATAGATGATCTAGGTTAGTGGAATTTGAGATCAAGAGAGTATGTGATGATCAGGGACTGTTGCTAAAGCTTGCATTTTTGGGAGGAGAAGACACGGCCGTATAGTGATGAGAATCCATTTTTCTTTCTAGTTTCGAATAAATTAAAGTTGTCGCTTTTCTTTTTCTTTACTTGGGTTATTTGGATGGGGGGATGTGTTGCTGCTGTCATGTTGAGAATAACTATGTTGATGATTACAGTGGATTGTGTAATTGGTCGACAACAATTACAACAAGTTGACATTTATCATGTGTTTGTCGTTCTTTGCATCAATAATTATCCTTAGCTGTAGTGCTGGTTAAGTTGAATAAAGACAATTAGTGGAGCGGCTACTCTGGAGGGTGAAACAAATTGAAAAGATGCATAGTCATCTAACCTTTTCTGAATGTCATGCACCAAATAGTCAGTTTTCTTTGTGATTGTATTGATATATTCACTCTAGGAGATCTTTTTATCAATGTCATAATGCCATAATCTTTTCATTTGGTGTAACAGTTTCAGGTTATAATGACAGCATGGTTGCTAGAATGCCTAACCAAAGTCCGATGATGAATTCTAATTCCCGCTCACAGTTCGAGAGCACTCCATTTGCTCCTCAGCAGCAAATAACCAACACTCATCAGCTCCAAAGTACGAGCTATGACAACAATGTTGGCCTGGCTCTTGGTCCTCCGCAATCATCTTCATTCCAGACAATGACCTCATCTCTCCCACAAACCAATCTTAATCCTTTCGAGGACTGGTCACACAACAGGGACAAGGGAGTGGACGAGTTCTTGTCTGAGGAGGAAATTCGAATGAGAAGCCACGAAATTCTTGAGAATGATGATATGCAACACTTGCTGAGACTCTTCAGCATGGGAGGTGGCCTTGGCTCTGTCAATGTGTCTGAAGACGGATATGGCTTCCCATCTTTCATGCCTTCACCATCTCCTACTTTTGGTTATGATGAGGACCCCAAACGTTCAGGAAAAGCTGTTGTGGGTTGGCTGAAAATTAAGGCTGCAATGAGATGGGGATTCTTTGTGCGGAAGAAGGCAGCTGAGAGGCGGGCACAGATTGTGGAACTGGATGATGAATAAAATATAGCGCTTCGAGGCTTAACCACCGACCATTTGAAGAACTATTCACTAGGCCGTGGTGATGCAGGTCCGAGTAATTAGCTACACAGGAGTTTATTTCCGAGGGATTAGTGAATTCGTTTTCATTCTCTTTGCGTCAAATAGTTTTTCATGTACAGAAGCCTGTACAGTAAGTTCACTTTTAATGCTCTCATTGTTAACTCAATTTGTGCTCTCTTTATCTGTTTCAAGATGTAATGTATTAGTCTGCAGACCCGAAGGGAAATATACTTTCAAAGAACTCGTGGCCCTCCTGTGTGTTGAATTCTATAGGAACTTTTATGATAAACAGGATGCTGATTGGCTTTTGCAATTTGAGCGTTCAGATAAAGCTATTCTCTCTCTTCTTTGGCATTTTAGTGCCAAAAATAATGATAGGTTTAACTAATATGAAAAAGGGGCATACTTTGACTATGCAATTAGGTACTTGTTACTCATATGTTGTATTTTTCTCCCCGACTATTATTTATACGTTGTATGAAGAGACCTTTTCAACAGAACAAAATGCAGTTCATAGGTCCCTGAACTCTGTTGAAATTGCGCAAGCACTCTCCTAAAACTATAATATTTAGATCCCTCTACTTCAACATCTTCGGCATGGAAAACCCTGCACCCTTCTATCAAAATTTTACAACCTATTTGAAATTGTTTTTCAAAAATTTACAACCTTTGCAACGTGTAAGGTTTACCTCAAATGACCTATTTGAAATTGTTTGGTAGTATGCTGTTCCAAACTTGCAAATTTTAAAAAAGAGAAGAAACAAAATAGACCAACTCTAATTCTTTATCCTTTTTCCGTATGAAGACTCTAGGATAGTTTGTTTTCAACACTAATGGAGACTCTAGGATAGTTTGTTTTTAACACTAATGGAAAGTCTAAACTAGAAACAGAAAGTCAATCAATGAGTCATTGGGGTGCCTGAAATGAACCATCTGCGCAAGGTCAATGCCAAGGCATCTGCGCAAGTCAAGGGACTTGAGGTTAGGACAACCCTCAAGAATCGCCTCAAGCCCCTGAGCTGTCAAAGTATTGCCAATAAGTTGAAGCTGGCGTAGTGAAGGCAAGTGGGCTGCAATAGCAAGAGCATCCTCGTTTTTCTCTTCCTCGGTCTCAAAGTCTACAGCATCAAAGTGACACAATGAGAATGACATCAACCTCGGGCAGTGCACACCTAGAGCCTCAATGCAGGCAGGTGTGATAAAGCAGTCTTGGAGACTCAGCTCCTCCAAATGACACAATCTTGAAGCCACTTTCATCAGACCCGAATAGATAGGGGTGCCCCATCCTCCTGAGCAACCCCTAAGCCACAACCTTCTTAAGGTGCTGGACCTGTGGAGTGAAGGTTAGTAAAAGAAAGGTTAATACTCATGTTACTAATTTCTAAAAGTTTCGGCACACTGCTAATCGCAACTACCATAAAAGTAGTTCTACAAAGGCAATTTCAGTGATCACACATTACTTTCTGCAAGCCACTTAAAATTGCAACATTATGCCTCAACGTTGAGGCTAGATAAGAAAACTAATGCTAGAGAGCAGAGATTGCATGAACTAAAATAGTGCACATGTGAGCACCATGTCAATAGTAACTTTTTTCAGAAATTTGGTACTACACTTTTAAGGTCAACATTTTAACCAGTAAACTACAACTTATTATATTGTATATAATTGCAGCACAATTTAATCTAAAATCAGAAAGCCCAATAACACTTCAAAATTTTAACACTAAAAAATGCTTTAAAATTTTCAGCGGAAAGTACTATCCAATACACTATTATCAATCTTCAACATACTCCACTTACCATCCAAATACTGGAAAACATTTTTTGGGGAAACATTTTTACAAAATTTTCCAGGGACAATATTGTCTTTCTTAGCAAACACCTTCTAATGTGAAATATAGATCATATCAGAACAAAACATAATGAAACTCCCAAAAAAATAAAATAGCTTGACCAGAGGCAAAAGATGGAATCCAAGGCATTAAAAAAACATTACTACTAAAAGGCCATAAACCAAATATCCAAAACAAGTCATAACACGCAATTTAAAAAAAATAAATAAAAAGTACCAAGAAATAACTTTCGGAATTAAGTCGTCTTCAGCTTACTGGTTCTGAAGAAAAAGGGTCAAGTTAAACAGCCTTCACCACCCACAAAGCATCAAAATTTTCATTAGAAGCACAAAAAGAGGAAAAAAAAAAACAAAAAAAAACAAGATAACATTTCAACTACATTGCACTGAGAACATAACACACACATACAAACTCCAGAAATTTTCATTAGACGCACCAAAAAGAGTGTTGAAATTGGCAAAAGTACCACATCGGTGGATGACAATTTTGAATGAGAATTTCACCCTATAAAAGGAGGCCTAATGTTTAGGATTTATACACACCTCTCATTTGCCTTTTATCTTCTTAAGGCATTTGTATCTTCTCTCTTTAGTATTATTTTACTTGTAATTTTGGAGTGGAATAAAATATTGATTGTGTCCGAGGAAGTAGGCAAAATTGGCCGAACCTCGTAAATTCTGGTGTTCTTTTATTGTTGTCTTATTGTCTTGTTTATTATTTAGTGGTTGTCATAATTTTTGGTATAGTAGTTATAACTCATTCACACTATATACATTTGGCTTCCGCAACAAAGAGGAAAACAAAGAAAGAAACCACATTCAAAGAACTACATTGCACGGGTAACCAAAAAAACCCACATGCTTAACTTCAAGAAAATATCAAACTTAGCTAAAACTACAATACCTAAAGCTCAAATGAGGCGGATGAAGAAACAATAAAGAGCTGAAACCCTAATGTACGACAAGAGAGAGAAAAAAAGTGAGGTAATAGAGCTAGGCCTGTGACAGAAGAGAGGATTTGAAGGGTCAAAGCAAGGATTTTATTTCAAAGCAATCTCACATGTTTCTCCTTATCGGAATGGTCTCGAAAGAAAATCGGATTTCATATTTAACGTAGTAATTTTCGACAGCAACCAGTGCACCTATATAATAAGCATAAACACCGTCTTGACACTCTCTTTCACCCCCCCTGTGTCCCCTTCGTTATAATTTATGTTCTCTTGAAAAATTCACATCCAACAAAGGGTAGAATGGTCTTTTCGGTTTGCTTAGGTGTCACTTTCTGATTTGTATTATCCACAAGAGGATTTAATTAACGATTGTTTGAGTCATTGTTTGCAAAAGGCCAAATGTAAAAAGTGAGTTAGTGTTGACATATGAAAGAGAATGTTTCCCACTCCTATCATCCTATGGATTGGATTTAATGGAAACGATAGGTTGTTAAAAGACCATCAAAGGAAATTAAAAAGAATGCTAAATTGGCAAAGGAATTTTGTAATATTCAAAAAGTGGAGATTTATAAGAGCGATACTCAGAAGGTAGAAGCAATAAATTCCAAAAAATGTCTTTTGCTAATTATTAATTCTCCTTTCCGTATTAATTAGTCTCTATTTCAAAGACACAATTTGGTAGAGAGCAGTCATTTTCAAAAACAAATGTCACAAATGATGTATCTGAAAAACACGACAGATAGTTTGTACTGATAACCATATGTTAATTCATAACGAGTGATTACCTTTCCACTAAGTACGGGATATCGCCTGAGCCGCAAAACGCATACGAGAAGTCAGTGCATTGGCCCTGACTACGCTCGATCGCCGTTGAAAATAGAGCATGCATAACCCTCACCGGTATGCATTTTTGATCCCTCAAGTCGATAACATCCCACATAACTGGCTCTCTCAACAGTCGTCTCCACACCGAGCACACTTTACCGGCGCTTCGCAGTTTATCGATAGTGCTTAGCCTTTGTAAAATATTGACCCAAATGTCTTCCGGAAGATATACCCCTAGTGACTGTGTCGCATATTCCAGTTCAGGTTCGACAACAGCTGATTTCTCATCTCTTAGGCGAAGATTCTCAAAGAGATCTTCCACAATTTTAGTCCAAATCTCCTCCCAGTTCAGCCCCGGCGGCAACAAATCTCCCTTCACTTCCATTTTTTTCCCGACGAAATGACGAGCTATGAACGATTCTCTCCTGCGATGGACAATGAACGATTCTCTCCGGCGAAACTATAAATGATTCTCTTCCGAAAAACGAAGAGCGATTCTCTCCGGCGAAACTACGAACGATTCTCTTCCACAAAAGTACGAACTATTCTCTCCCGAAAACGAAGAGCGAATCTCTCCGGCGAAACTACGAACGATTCTCTTCCGCAAAAGTACGAACTATTCTCTCCCGAATAACGAAGAGCGATTCTCTCCGGCGAAACTATGAACGACTCTCTTCCGCAAAATTACGAACTATTCTCTCCCACAAAACGAAGAAGGATTCGCTCCGACGAAATGAGAACGATTATCCGGGTGAAATGAACGAACAATTCTCGCCGACGGAATGACGAACGATTCTCGCCGGCGAATTTGACGAACGATTTTGGTGTGTTCTGGAAGCTTCTGGATTCGAATTGTGGAGAAAGAGATTGATATTTTCAGGGAATTCACGTTTAAATGACTCAAAACAATTTGCGGGAATTTATATTAGTTTCGCCTGAAGGCTCAACGAAGATATTCTGTTAGTTCGTTCGAGAGCGAACAAACAACTGAAACAAAACAGATGCCAAATTAGTTTTTTCTCTTTTTTATTTTTTTATTTTGATAGAGACGGATTAGTTCGCCTATTTTCATATTATATCTTCGTCGATCCAGTTTTTATTTGCCCCATTTCTATCTGAGGAATCGTACCCTGATTTTTTAGACATCTTTTAATTATAGTTAACTAGTTAAATGGAGGCTTATTTGTTTTAAAAGAAAATAAAATTATATAGCCGCTTTTAAAATAATAGTCGAAAAAATATTTATTTTTTATATATATTTGTGTATATATATATATATTCTGTAATTTATATATATAAATTATACAAATTTTATATATTTTTTCGGCTACCGAATATAAATAATTTCTGGCACGGGCTAGAAGTGATAATACCCCTTTTAACATATTTTGTTGATATCGCAGAAATTAAATTTTAAAATATATATGATTAAGACATACATATGAAACACTAAATTAAAATCAATTTTATACGGAAAAAATAAAATAGAAAGATTCAAATAAGAATATCACATACCTTAGAGAAGAGAAGTTATTACTCATAAAAGAATCCTCTTGACTTCTCCCTATTTAAAAGATATTACGAAATAGTAAGCAAGTAATAATATATATTTATTAGTGACTATGTTTATAGGTCATTAATGCTGATCATAATTAGAGACTTTTAATCTTACATAAGTCTTCTCTCCTTCTATTGCTATTTAAATGTTGGTCATAAGATCAATAATCATTGTAAAAAATTTTATTATTAACTATACTCTTTTAGACTTTTGAAAATTTAAAATAAGATAAGAAGAAAATGAGGAAAAATAACAGAGGAGAAAGAATCTAAGAAGAAAGTGGGATGGGGGCACCTCATTTTGGTCCTGAAACTTTTTTATTCGATTATATTCCTGAAATATATAACGATTAAAAAGCAAATATTGATTAAACGATGAAAGGGACGGAGTACGCCAAAATCACAATTATGCACCAAAGAATTTTCGAGTCTTAAAATTTTCCTACATGTTCTTGAATGAAAAATAAAATCCTAATCGTCACCCGAAATGAAAACATATACACTCCTTTTCTCAAGGTCATCAACAGTGATCTTCCAAGAAATCATGTACACCCCATGTACGTGACTCCAAATCTTCATCCAAAATTCTATTTGCATCTAAATTCAATTATGAAAGTAAATTTCATTGGCAAAAAAAAAAAAAAAGGGCAATACATCATCTATTAACAGAGATGGAGACCTGAAATCTAAAAATCCTTAAGAAGACACTGATCCATTAGGTAAGTAATCGTTTCGACTAAAGTCCATTTTGATCATATTGATACTTGTACTGGCAGTGCCAACAACATTATTATTACCATGCCTCAAAACATAAGTAGGAGAAAATGGACTTTCAGATTTTTCAGCAGTTTCAAAAGTTCTTAACGAAATTCAAGTTTTCTTCACTGGACTTTAATCGCTGCCTCTTTCTAACACCGCAAAATTTGTTAACATTCTTGTTTTTTTTTCAAATCATCTTCTTCTTCTTGATCAAAGTTGATAATTCCTTCACATTTCCACAAAAATGCTTTTTTCAAATCTAATTTGTGTAACATATTTTTTTTACTCGTTTTATCTTCGTCACTATCATCATCACTGGAAAAATCGATAGTATGACAATCAGTGTAACAAATTGGAAGTCAACTTATTTCATGCCTGTGAGGATGAAAAGGGTGATATATATATATATATATATATATATTATATTCTTGAGAAAATAAATTGAAGGGCCAGAGAACAATATTTAACCGAAGCCTTCCACGTATAAGGATGAAAATGGGTTGCTCTGATGGTAAACACCCTCCACTTTCAACCAAGAGGTTGTGAGTTCGAGTCACCCCAAAAGCAAGATGGGGAGTTCTTGGAGGGAAGGATGCCGATGGTCTACTGAAAACAGCCTCTCTACCCCAGGGTAGGGGTAAGGTCTGCGTACACATTACCCTCCCCAAACCCCACTAATAGGATTATACTGGGTTGTTGTTGTTGTTGTTTCTCTCACCTTATAAAGAGATGATTAATAACTTTAATATCTCACTGTAGACAACTTAACCAAAAAGAATCGCCTGCATTAAATCATGAAAGAATTACAAGAAAATACACTTGAATTCACATCATAACAAAATATGGCCCGTGTTTTTAAGTTTTATCCGACTTAGCCCATATTGTACATATTTTGAAAGCACTAGCAAATTCAAAATCTGTGTTCTTACAACCATTGCTTCTAAAAGCTATGGAGTTAAATCTGTGTTCTCACAACCATTGCTTTCACTCTCTCTTCTTCTCACATCTTCTACATATGCTTTAAGGGGCCGTCCGCCATAACTGCTTCTCCCCATGTATCACTTGGTTGCAATGTAAGAAAATTGAAGAGTTGAAGTCCACCATTGAAGGCCATTCAAAGCTTTGCTTTCGAAAATAGAATTTTTTGAGTTTGTTAGTTGTTTGGATTGGGTGTTATTCCAATTGATTAAAAATATCAAAAGGTAGTTCAAAATTTAAATTTAAAGTGATTTGGAGTATATTTGAGCAAGATTTGAGTTAAATTTCAGAAAAAAACGCAAGGAAGAAGATGAAATGAGTTTTTTTGTATAATTATATATAATCTTGTATAATAGTGTATAAGAGTGTATAAACATATCTTATACACTATTATACACTTTTATACACCTTTATATAAGTGTCTGTAGATGAACTTCTTCCATGATTTTTAGTTACAATTCTTGTTCAAAACCAGTCCAAATCTCCATTAAAAGACTTCAAATTTTATATACAATCTCCTTATACTATTTCTAACAAATCTAAATAACACCCACTCCAAATTTCTCACAAAATCAAATTCAAAATTTAAACCCACATATTTAAGCTTGTTAAAAATTTAATTTTCACCACCCAAATGGATTTGGTTTATTGAACTAATATTTGAGTCACAATTACTAATTTGAAAATTAACTTAAAAGCTTGAGCAATATTTTAAAAATTAAATAATAATTTCGAGAACCTATTGGAGTTGAATGTTGAATCTTAGCCTATTATTTTTGGGCTAGTTGGTTGTAAATTAAAATATGGGCTATAAAATTGAAAAGTAGGGAGTCCAGTTGTTCTTATGTGAAATTTTTCCTTAAATCATAACGTCTGCTGCCCATTTTAATCGATTTGACTCGAATTTTTTTGTTCCGTTTGTGTTTACCCAAAAACCGGATAGAGTTGAATTTGTACGTAGTTTTAAGGGTACATGGTATAATTTGGCACAAATCGGAAAGTAGGTAGAAATATATTGAGTATCGAATGTATAAAGAATGAAAATACAAACCAAATTGAATAGAAAGCTAGTTTATGAACAAGCAAGATGAGTCAATGTATAAAGCTCACAAGAGGATAATCTCTGTATGGATATCAGTATGTTTTTCTCTGTGAATAATAAGAGAGTGTATTGATGTCTTAATGTCCCCTTTTACAAAATAATAGTTATCTCTCTTATAGTGGAGGAATCCTACTTTAGATATAATTAAAAATACATAGTGGGGATCCCATGATAAATTAGCTTTTCCCCAATTCCTGCCGAGATTCTCTCTCTTAGCGTGGCTGTAACGGCTCTTGTCTCTTGGCTCGATCTTGGTTGGATTTGGTACTGTCCGATTCCCAGGTTTAGAGCTCGATATTAACTCGAGCTCGATATTGACTCGGGGCTCGGTATCCAATCGGGCTAGATATTGGTCGGTCTCTGGCTTTTAAGCTCGATAACCCCGCTTTACTTCATAGTTCGATTTGGACTCAGGCTCGATAATGATTTCGAGCCCAGTATTTGATCGGTCCCAGGAATTAGAGCTCGATAACCTGGCTTCGGATCTAATACCCGATATTATGAAAATGACTCTCGGTCCATTATGTTCCAATTTTGACTAATCATACTAAGGTTGAAACCGGTTTTGACCATACACAGATAGTCCCCTCGTTTCTCAGGAAGAATGTGGCGAGAAACGACATGATTTTCAAGCGGTATGACTCGATACAAACTGACGTTTGCACCGAACCCGACCATGACGTACGTGATAGATGTCTCGTTGGTTCAGTTTACCAAGGTATTAAATGTGTGTCGGATGATGGTCGGCCATTGTTGACACTGAACTTTCATTGCCGACCCTATAAATAACCCCTCTTTTTACCACTTCTTACTTTTACATCTCCAAATCTTCTAAGTTCCCTTTCGCACTTCTGAGTTCTTCATCTGTGAATTCTGTGATTTTCACTACAAAATCCCTCTTTAGAACACCAAATCTTATTGTCTTCCTCTATCTTCAATCTTTAAATCCCAATGGCGAAAACGTCAAAAACCGTTCCTCAGAAAGAAAA